TTGTCGAAACTTTATTAAGTGTCGTTCTATTTTTCATGTCAAATGTAGGGCTGTATTGGGCTGTACCAAAGTCAATACACAAAGCGATTTTGATATACATATATATGCCTCCTTTTTTGTTCGATGTGTTAAAAAAGAAAAAAAAAAGATTCGTTTGGAACATGGAAATTTGGCAATCAGTGATTTTTGATTGGTGCAAAAATATGGCGCAAAATTCAAATAATCTGTTTTTTTTCTTCTAATTTCTGGCTTCAAAATTTAAAAAAAAATTAACCAACCATACTTTTATAGTATATATAAAATACACAATATATACCTAATTTCGATTGAGTGCAAGAGGTCTATTGATGCAGCGATTGTATTGCTTTAGAACTGAGTACCTTTCGTATGGTGTTTTTGATAAGAATAAGGTACACGGTCAGCTTGTAGCGAATGAGGAAGTAGATAGCTGTTTACGTTATACTTGTTTAAATTATTTGGAGACAGTTTAGATTTTGGATGAATGATATTGTTTGGGGTTGATGTGGTCAACTTACTTAAGGCTTCAGACTGGTTTCCAAAAAAAGCAGTTAGTTCTCGATAAGTGGGCAAATCAGAATGAGTATGTATTGCTTTCACCTTGTTCCAGTTTTACTGTACAATTTCATTAGCAAAATGATAAACTTGAGAATTTAGTAAATTAACAAGCTGTTTTAGTCGGAAAAAAGACAACGGAGAAGTAATATTTCCATTAATGAAGAAATTTGACTTTGAATATATTGGAATATCAAATTCACAAAATTACTATAGAGCAAGCAATAATGATATATGTAATAGGTGAGTAGCAATAAAATAAATTAATTATGGTAGAGAGAAGTTGTGGGTTGAGAACAAAGTGGAATAAAACTTCCTCATTTACAAATTCGCCGACCGACGTTTCTACCTTTTATCCAGGTCCTCATCAAGGCGCTTCATATAACAGATGTTTCCAATTTAAAAGGCTCACAATACAAGTCCATGAAACACAACCAGACAAATGCGATAATATCTTCAACATCCACATTTAGGTATAATTTTTAAAAATACGCTAATTTGAATTAAAAATTAGCAAATGCACGTACAGACCGAACCAAACACAGACTGTATGTGCATTTTTAATCCAAATGAGCGTGTTTTTTTTTAATTTTAAATGTGGATGATGGAGAGTATTGTCGCATTTGTTTGGTTGTGTTTCACGGAGTAAGTTGTATATATCGTGAGCCTTTTGACTTGAAAACTTCTGTTATATGAAGAATGAAGAGCCTTGATAAAAGACAAAACGTCGGCGAATTTGTAAATAGGGAAGTTTTATTCCACTCCGTCCTTAACCCACAACTTCTCTGTACCTTAATAAATACTTTGGAGGACACTATATTTTCACTTAAATAAATTGACTTATTTGAAATCTTTGAGGCCTTCTTGGAAACTGTGATCTGGCTGATGCGTTTATGAGACATTTAAAAAACAATCAGATATGTTTTTTAAATGTCTCATAGGAAAGTTACTGAACAAAAAATATATCGGATGCTGATTGGTTTTATAGGATCACAGTTCCCGAAAAGGCTTTCAGATATCTCCTTTTGATCCCATTTTGTGTTTAAAATACGGAACTCTACCTGACAATTTGGAGTGTTTATGCATTTATTCGAAAAAAAGTCGTTGAACAAGGGAATCGTAAAAAATAAATCCGAATGTAAAAAGGCCTAAGAGCATGTAGCACTTAAGTATTCGCTACATGGTGTCTTGTGAACACGTGCCCGTGATTGAATTAATACCGCCAAAGTCATGTTCAATATGTCACTGTGAAGTAAACTAGAGGTTTGTTCGTTTGTATTACACTAACTTGAACTGAATAAAAATATTTAAGTTTAGTAACGAGACTAGTTCACATGAATTTCTTTGGGAAAGGACGATGAAAGAACGGCTTGAAAATAACTAAGTACATTCGGAAAATTGAGAAGTGCATCGCGTAAGAAGTTTCTGGCTAAAAACATTTTATTAATTTAATGATCCAATGGAATTTTTTCGCCGTGATCTTCATAATTCTAAGACTTCCAATTACTTTGCATCGGCTCTTACATTCTGCACCAAAAAAATATACGCATAAAAATTACAAATAATACAAATACAATACAAATACAAATTATTTATTTCCATAGACTTTTGAATACAAGTATAGGATGATGTCAAAAAAAAAAAATATATATTGTTTAAAAATAGATTAAAATATAAGTATAAAAGTTTCAATAAAAAATGGTAAAAACATGATAAAAACAAAATCACAAGTTATCACACAAACAACATAGGTACATTTAAAAATTCTTTCTAGTTTTTTATTTATTTAGGTAGAAGGTCAGAGACGCTGCAATTCATAAATTGGTCAACAGAGTAAAATGTGTTTTTTGTAAGATTTTCCTTTAGAATAAGTTTGAAGCGAGTCAACTTTTGAATCTTTTTCACTTCAGTGGGTAGCTTGTTGTAAAATTTAATTGGTAATACTATAGGACTATTGGCTACTTTTGACAGCCTGTGTATGGGGACCTCCAAGTTCAAATTTGTTCTCAATTCATATTGAGTAGCGCCCTTAGAAATAGAATAATTGGAAATGTTTTTTTTTAAATGCATAATGGATGTAAATATAAATAATGAAGGAAATGTTAGTATTCCTAGTTCAGGGAATAATTGCTTGCACGAATAAGTGTATGGTTTGGAGCATATTGTTCTTACTGCCCTTTTTTGAGCTCTAAAGACCTCGTCAGCCCTGGTGCAGTTTCCCCAACACATAATACCATATGATAGGCATGAGTGTACATAGCCATAATAATACAGCAATAAAAGCGAAATATCAACTCTTTCACGCAATTGCCAGAGTACATAAATGTATACAGAGAGTTTTTTCAAAACCGTATCAACCTGATTTGACCAACTAAAAAGATCATCAAGAATAATGCCCAGATATTTGGTGACCCTATTCTGTGTTATTGAACTGTTATGCATTCTAACCAGTAAGCTTTTATTTAGATCCGTAAGTGAAAATAACATCATTTCGGTCTTTGATTGATTTAAAACAAGACCATTATTACGACAAAAATGAATCATTCTATTCACGGCACTAGTTGACATTTTGGACAGTATCTCAAGATCACCGAACGATGTGGTAACACTTGCATCGTCCGCGTATGCACCCACGCAATGATACGGAAATTGCTGCATTATACTGTCAAAAAAAATTATAAATAATAAGGGACCCAAGATGCTACCTTGCGGTACCCCACTAGTTATTGATAGATAACTTGAGTTAACAGATGCATTTTCATTTTTCAAATTAGTTTTTTGTTCCCTATCAGTGAGGTACGATTTTATCCAATTGTAGGAGACACCGCGCATACCGCATTTGTAAAATACGTCAAGCATCAAGTTAATATCTATTACATCGAAGGCCCTTTTCAAATCAAAAAAGAGACACAAGGACTTGTTGTTTTGCTCAAAATTGGAAAGAACATGAGTATATAAAGCTAAAATAGCATCCTGCGTTGAACGATTTTTTCTAAAACCGAACTGATGCTCACTAAAGAATTTTTCTTTCTGTAAAAACGATTCTAATCTTTTATAAAAACATTTTTCAAAAATTTTGGAAAAAATAGATAGGAGCGATATCCCACGGTAGTTTGACATCAAGGTTTTGTCCCCCTTCTTGTAAATCGGGACAACAATAGATTTTTTCAGAGAGCTTGGAAAAGTGCCTACTTGAAATGATAGGTTAACTAGATATGTCAATGGCGGTGCTAGGTAGTCGACGACGTGTTTTATGAGTGAGCAAGGAATTCCATCTTCACCGGCCGAGTTTTTTTTGCTAACTGATAAAATAATTTGGTGCATTTCGTGCACCTGAAAATACTCTAAAAAAAGCGAATTTGATATTATTCTATTATTGGATTGATTTTGTTTATTTTGGTTTGCGGAACGTTTTATTTTGTCTACAGAGTTGATGAAAAAATTATTGAAATTATCAGCTGCTTCCTGTAAGTCAGAAAATTCATGACCTTCCTCGTCCACAAAGTATTTTGGTTGATTTTGACGCCCCGAAGAGCAACTTTCATACTTTATTATACTCCAAGCTGTTTTTGACATATTGTTTGACCTTGAGAATAAATCACTGTGATATCTTTGTTTAGATAATTTCAATTTAGATTCGTGGTATTTTTTTAGTATTTTATAACGATTTAAAATATTTAAATTGTTTGAAAATTTATACTGTTTGTACATATCCCGAAGGTGCTGTCCTTCATTGATTAGTTCCGGCGTTACCCAGGGCTTACGTGTTAATTTTTTAGGGTAATATTTTTCCAGGGGAAACGAGGCCTCCATTATCCCTTGAATAACGCCTGAAAATTTATTGAATTCAGAGTCAAAGGAGCAACCACTCTGAAATATTATATTCCAATCAATTAGAGAAAGGCTACAAACAAAATTATCAATATTAGACTTTCGATTAAAAAACCTTTTGATATAGTATGATGTTTTACTTTCTTCAAGAATAATGGGCGTTGAGACAAGTTGCATAAAGTGATCGGAAATGTCACAGTGAACTACCTCAGCCTTTATTTTTTCTTCATCAAGGGTCGTGAATATATTGTCAATGATTGAGCTTTTATTTTTATCAATTCTGGTATACTCGTTAATAGTTTTTTTTAGACCGTAGCTTGTAAAAATATTGATTACTTTTAAGGCATTTTGGCATTGAGGATCCCCAAAGTGGACATTAAAATCTCCGCATATAAATGCGTTAGTTGAAGGTTTAATCACTTCATGCAACAAGTCATGCAAAAAATTAATAAAAACATTAATCTCCTGTGAAGGCGTCCTATACAAGCAGCCAATAGTATATTTGAAACTATGTACAGTCAACTCTGTTAGAGTGTACTCAAATTTTTTTTCAATAGAATTCAGGGTTATGTTAATATTATTAAAAGAGAGATCCTTTCTTATAAAAATTGCAACACCTCCGCCATTTGCATCAATGCGTGAAAAATGAGACGCTAAAATATAGTTTTGAATACAGAGTAAGTTAATTTCTTCATTATTTTCTTCTGATTCGCTTGAATTACACCAAGTCTCTGACACGCAGACTGCATGTGGTTGGTCGACAGAGTCGAGTAAGTTTTCTAGTTTCAGAGTTTTTTTCTTCAAGCTTCTTACATTTAAATGACAAATAATAAGTTTATCAGCAATATTAATTGCTTTGTCACAGGATTCCGTTAGTTCGGCTGTTGAAAGGCACGATTGGGAAAATTTCCTGTTTCACTCCCATTACTGGTTCTCGGAAAGCGATATCTAGCGATGCATGCTCCAGCTGGCCATATTGTAGGTTCGTATACTTTTCCTACATGTTCTAATGGAAATGACGCCAAAAAAGATACGCTATTCATGGTTTTGTTATGCACTTTAATGTCAAACTTAATGTCAGGCGCAGTCGTTTTTAGTAAGTTAGTTAACCCACTAGCAGTTGTACTTAAGTGCAATCTATATATATGTAAATAGCCAAGTTTTTGTACAGCTTGAAGTCCAGTGGTAGTATTAGTGCCTATTATTGGCTTGCGACGCCGATGTTGCGGGGTACGGTATAGCGGGGAGCTATTTGAATCGCTCAGATTAATGCATTGGTTCATCATATTTTGTGCGAGCGCATTATTGACAGCGTTGCCAACTTGACCAGCAGATATATTCTGTTTCCTGCAGTGTACACTGCTGACCGCCCCGGTTCTGGCAACTTGTCCGCCGCCTAGTTGTTCACTGTTGTTCGGGCGATTTCTTGAGCCACGTCCATATCGTTTAGGATATTGCCACTCATTATCAGTAGATGTCGATTCGATCGAGTTCGGATTTTGTGCAACCGAACCAACATGTTTACGAGGTTCGACTGATGTGGCGGTGTTGCTACAAGATGACGCTGCGGTGTCCTTAGGATGCTTTTTATTATTATTATTTTCTTGTAATAATGAAATAAATTGTTTTTGTTCCAAAATTCTATCTTCAAGGTGTCTCTTAAGGTTTTCTAGATCACTAACCTTCGATTTGCTATATTGCAATTCCATTTTCCTTTGGAAACACAGTTGTTTAGCACAGGAAACATCAGGTACAGAACTAACCTCAAACTCGCTATCACTGTGGAAAAACACATTTTCACGCGAAGAAAACGCTGTCGTAAGCTTTCTTTTGATTTCAACTAGCACTTCATTAGACCCGTAATTTGATGGTAACTTTTGATACACAACTAATTCAACTAATTCATCTTTTTTGAGCTTTTTTAGCTCCGACAACAAAACAACGTCAGTTATACCGTCGGCCATTTTAATTAAAAAGGATCTAAACTACGAAACGTCGATCGATGCCTTCAAGAAAAAAATAGAAAGTTTTGTCGGTTGTGTAATTGAGTTATGACAATTTTTAGAATTTTTACTATACCTTTACAACTTCAAAGTGAGACATCACAATCAAATTGAGAACAAACATTTTCGAATTGAGAGTAGACAAAATCAAATTGAGAAACAATCAATTTCAAATTGGTACAACGTTCAATTACATGGAAACGGATGTTGAACCAATTTGAAATTGATTGTTCTCAATTTGATTGTTTTAAGTCTCAATTTGATTTTGTTAATCTCAATTTGATTGTGATAAGTCTCAATTTGAAGTTGTAAAGGTATAGAATACTATCTCACTTTGTTTTACAGAACTAGGCAAACGAAGCAAGGGTGAGTTTATTTGCGAAAGTTCGGAAAACCAAGCATTGGAAAAGCCCAAGAGAAGACTTCGTTTCAAGTAATAAATTCCCATACGAAATAACGGAAGAAATGAAAATGTTGCAAGATTTGCTTATTCACCCTTATTTGAAAAATTCCGTACAAGAATAGATCCCATAGATTCGGGATTCATCTGGGACTCTGCTGGCGCAGCTAAAATTCTCTCCGAATCCTTTTGATAGCCCCCGCTGCCAATTTTATTTGCCTGTTTCATAAACACATATACATATCTTTTATATTATTAGGACGTTAATGGCGCTATAAAATCAGTAACATATTCATTTCGGTGCCATTAGGATCGTAAAACTTACGAAAGATAACATAAAACCGAATTGATAAAATATTGTCAGAAATTAAATTCATATTGGCAAGTTAGCGCAACCTCTCCAATGTAAAATTATCGCATGATAATAAACTATTCCAATTTTCACATTATAGCCACTTCAGAGATGTCTATCGCCTAGCGATGTTCATGTAATATTGCGCCCCAAGGCACTGATTCTATCGTGAATGGTGTTGAAAATAGACAATAGGATTTATGGTTATCAGCACGATTGTATCGATCCCAAGTCTTATTAATGTAGAGGTGTGTGCAATGTATCTAAATATGCTAACTCGCGAAATATTATAATGTACGATAATGGGTAGTGGAATAAAGTATCTATTTCAAAATATAACCCCACGGTTTAACGTGCTTTATTATTTTAGAAGTTTCTGAGAAAAATATATTACTATCAACAAGTCATGGGAAAGAAACTTTACGCATTTTAATGCCAATACTTTTCTGAAAGGTGAAAGAAACATTAGGACAACGAAAACTGAAGATATTATTATACCAGAATAATGCCCCAGTTCCAGTAATGGGAAGAGTATTTTAAAGAATTACTGACCTAATTTAAATAAGAGTGAGAACAGGCACAAAACATGAAAACCGTAGGATTACCAATAGGAGTAATAAAGTTGAAAGACAATGTATCTTCTTGAAAAATGGAATAGCGCCAGGAACATGGGAAATATAAGCAAAAAATAGGCTGCAATAAACTTTAAAACAACAGCCATAGTGAAACCAGTATAATTAGGCGCATTTATATTAAGAGTGCTCATCAGCCTGGTGTGATCGTCTAATTTTTTTTTCTTATTTGGTGAGGTTTTTGATGTATACCTACCTACTGTCCTAACAGGGTTGGACGAACTATTGGAAGAGGGCCGGGGAATTTCAGTCTACCGGCCCATACATCGATTTATTTATTTCAAAAAATCAAAATGATATTTTCTTTATTGGGGGGCTTGGGTTAAAAATTTCCATGAGAATCTTCTCAAAAGTCAACAATGCTAAGATTTCTTTATTCAAGTTCACTATCACGAACGCATCCAAATTTTCCATTGTAAGTCGACTCCTTCATCAATTTTTTATGTCTTCAAGTGTAGAAAACCATTTTTCGCACCCTACCTGTGAACACGCTAAAATAAAGACATATTATACCGGTGAAGAGATGACTGCAAGCACAGATGTATAATCTAAATCTGTATTTATACAAAACATTAAGACAACAAACCAAACATTGTTTTCAAAGTGAATGTGATGTAAACTTTTTTTATTCATTCCCTGTATCCAACATCGGTGTCATTCACAAAGCTTTGTTTTGGTTTGAAAAAAAGAACGGTTCTAGAACGGTCCAAAACAATCGCACAGTTTGTTATTGGAATTTTTGATAGCCGAGCTGTTATCATTTTGTTGATTGATAAACTGTGCGATTGTTTTGAATCGTTCTAGAATGGTCCTTTTTTAAAACCAGAACAGCTATTATCTTCATCTCCATCGTTGGATTGAGACAACTTCGTCCTTTTACAGTCAGACCATTTTCTTCCAAAATTCTCTAATTCCTCCCGCAAAACAGCCCCGCCGATATCTTTTTTGTGAGAACGAATTGCGGGTTATGAATTTGTAATTATTACATCAATTTCACTTGCTTCCAGTCCTGTATTTGCCCAATAGGCTCCTTGCATCAAATTTTTTTATTGCTGATTGCGATAGTCCATGGAAAATAATTTAACACGTGTTTTTTCTTTTTCTTCTTAGTCAAAAATTGACGGAGATACAACACTATGAAATCTGCCTATGACGTCACTTATCTAATAAATTAATGACGTTGCACATGCTCAGTATATCTATATATACAAAACTTAATATTTGAATAACTTCCGGAATAATCATATTTGGGCGAAATAAAAAAAAAGTAACGATTTTTTTTTCCATTTCCTACAGTTTGCAATAAACAATAATCAATTTAATTTTCCATGCAAGTACCCCATTGTCAAACATTTTCAGCACTTCATACTTCTTTCATGTTGCGTTGTTCATTTTTCAGCGCGTCATAAGGTGAATTGACCATTCTTTGTACTTTGAAGCTGTCCGTTCGATCTCAGACTTTGATTTGAAGGTATATTGATAATCTTGTTGTTCTAAAGATCGACCCACAGTCCAATCGGCCCACCGGGGATTTTTCGGTATCCCGGTGGGTTCATCCAACCCTGTGTCCTAACTTGGAATGGTCAGGGCCGTAGCTAGAGTCAAATTTGTGATAGGGCATGACAAATTTGACATAGGGCATACACTACTTGCCCCCCCCCCCCTTAAATTTTGTACAGATAGAATGGCGCTGTTGTTGTTGCTTACATTTATAGGAGTATTCGGAAACACTCATCCTTGCACCCACTCGATTTCAGGCCTATTCATTATCTACTCTTACTTAAATTTCCTAGAAAAACCTTAACGCAGGTTGTGTTTTAAAGGTAGGGCATGATCATTTGAAAGATAGGGCATTGCCCCCCAATGCCCCCCCCCCTGGCTACGGCCATGAGAATGGTGCGGGCTCTCAATTCCATTCTTGCTTTTTTAACAGGTTGGTTTTTATTTACTTTCACTTTGCTTTATGGTCTATGGAAAAGTATTTTCCCATCAAGAAGATATTCACGTCACGGGGTAGGTACACTAGATTCTACCATTTTTCTCGAGGAATAGTTTAAATGTGCTATACGCCAAAAATTGAACCTCAGGTTAAGTTGCATTATTCTTGTCTATACATATTCGTGTCTACGCATAAAGGGGATTGGTGTTGAAAATGTACAATTCTCAAATAAGGAATGCCTAGTTCGGAAATATTTCTTTCTTCTGCTTGTTACTTGAGCCTTTTTGTAATCCCACCTTTAACCTGATCATATATAGTACCGCGGATCTAGCGCTTGCGATGAGTCGCCCACAGAAGTTTTAAAAGGTCATTGCATTATGTGTTAATCAACATACGACCACTGAAATATCTTGGTCATGATTTGATCTATCTTGGGTCGAACTGCTGTGGCTCCTGATCGGAATTATTTCCAGCCATAGAATGGTTTATGACATTAGCTAACAAATAATAATTGTCCTATGACGTAGGTAATTCTTGTTTATCTTTGTTTGGTAGCTTCATTTCAAACAACGGTGACAAAAAAAAATTGAAAAAAGTGGGTATCTGAGCATTGTTCGTTTTATAAAGGTAAGTGTCTTTTCTCCCACTGTAAATCAGTTATGGGTTACGCCATACATTTTTCTCTCACCTGAATGACGTAACTAAAAATGGGTACCCATAATTCCGACTACAACTCTCGGAACAACTGACAAGTTAGAAAATAACTTCTATTATGAATAATAAGCTATTAACACCTCTCCCCTTCAAAAAATCAATTCTCTGAGCTTTTCCCTCTTCTTGTATGTAAAGGTGTGGTGACTTGAGAAATGTATTAGTTTTCATTAAAAACATTCAGTAGCACCAGGATTGGCCTTAATTTTCAGTTGTCAAAATCAAACTAATTATGCGTATTTATTTCATTCGCCTACCGTTAAAGCTATAAATACTTATCTAGCTGTTATGTTCTGAATGACTTGGATCTTGTTTGTAGCAAATGGTTTCTCAAGATTGATTGTTATCGATCAACGCAGCTTAAAAAAATCGAATGAAGAATGATTCGTTGGAAATGAATATTAATATGCTACCAGTAAACGCTATAATGAAACCTTTTGTGAAAGGATAATAAGCCAGTCATTCAACAGATTCAGAGAAGATTTCTTGAAAAAAGTTTTCAAATTTTGATAAAAAACTGAGGATACCGATCATGGAATTTAATTTTTAACGCCATATCGAGATTTGGAGCGGTGAAAAATTTAAACAATCAGACAATCAGGCCTATGATGTATCATCTTCTGTTATTTTAATAGCAACGTGAAGTTATCTGTCATTGTTTATTTTACACGTAAAAATAGACAGGTATGGATTTTGACCTATAACACAACTGTTAAAATAACAAGAGAGGATACATCATAGGCCTGATTATTAACTTGCCGCTCGGCTGGTATAGGTTACAATTAAATGTTTATTAGCAAATTTTGGAAGGAAACAAAAAAAGTTTCTAAATTTTCAGAGTTTCAATTTATCTGAAGTTTATTTTTTGGATATTTTATTCTTTGGATTTTTTCCCTAACATCTCTGTCGTAAGTGTCGATTTCTTCAGACC